TAAAAGATACAAAAATTCTCAGTTTGTATCCAAAATGATTAATTTTCTCANTATTTTTTTCTAATTTCAAATTTAAAATCTTCCCCACTTGATGTTGCTGTTTTCATTTCTCTGGTATTACCATTTTCTCATTATAAAGGGCATACCTAATGCACGAAACTCCCCGCTGCAGGGTGTGGGGAAGGGTATAGGTGACATTGTTAAGATCAACCAACGGGTATTGCATTTACGTAAATTTCAGGAATCTACATTATCCAGATGCAAATATATGTTTGAGCAACATATTTTTGATGCACTTTTCAACATATTTTTAGAAATATTGAATATTCAATGTCAAGGATAAGCCAGTTTTCTATTTTGCTTAAGGATATTAGGAAGAAACTAAATCTGATTATAGATAAAAGCATAACAACTAGAATTAAAGATACGAAAAAACGGGGTTTTGATTAGCATTTCAACGAGTATACAAGGGGATTGCTTGTCAAGATTTGGCATATAAATTTGGATTTTTGATAATTGTAATTGAGTTTTAATTTTAGCATGACAACATAACCGAGAATGTTCATGCAAGACTCAAAGGAGGAGAGTTGCATTAAGTAGCTTGACAACCAACATAAAACTCGTCTGACCAACTATGAACATAAATAGCATTAGAATAAAATGACTGTGATCAGTATGAGGATCTACCATCATAGAATGATGGTTCATGCAAGACTCAAAGGAGGAGAGCAAGCAAAAGAAACCTTCAAACAATAGCAAGCATGAATAATATATTCTTGTTGAGTCATTGAGGAAGAAACTTGTACCAACATTTTCTAATTAAACTCAATTGAGAGACTCAGACTTGGTGCAATAATCATGAATGGTTGAAGGTAAGAAACCTTGGCCTGGTCCATCCCTAGAGGTTACAATCAACCATGGATTCCAACAGGCTGTAAATCTGGACTCTGGGCTTCCTCTTGCTTTGTAAATGGGGCTAATAATCAAGCCGAGCTTGTAAAGGGGTCCTCTTCATGTATCAAAGTGAGGACTTTGTTTCCACCATCTTGTCAACAGAGAGTCGCTTGCTTTTTACTGAGCTTATTCCTGCTTGTTCAAGCATATATCTGGATCTAAGGTTGGCAAAGATTGAACAGTGTACAATTTGCAATTTATCCAAATAATAATTATGCAATTTGCTCTTTTCTCTGCTCCTGCTCCTTTTTTTTTTTTTCAAGCTCGTTTGGAAAGTTCTAATACTTGGCAAATATGACATCTCGTTGAATCGGTTGAAGCTTGTATTGCTTTACTAATCTAATAGATCATAAGTAAAGGGACTCTATTATGATCTTACGAATTTAAAGATCTAAAAATGGAAGAACAAGCTCTTTTGCTCGCCCCTCTCTCTAAAGGAGCGTAAGCACTACTTTGGTTTCATTCCTTTTGCTCTTAAGTACACACCTTACTCTGTTTCAAAGAGTAGTTTTTCAAGGAGCTTCATAGCACCTATTTTAGAGTTTTACTTGGATGTCTGTAGTGGCCATATCCATCTGTAACATCTGAATGCAACCCTTGAGAGGAGCCAAAAAAACGTGGATATGATTACAATTGATATGATTTTCTCCCCTCATTTTTTGGAGGGCGGTAGCTGAAATTTATGAACTGTCTTTTTAAATGCATCTGAGGACACTTGTAACTGGTAAGTAACTGATGGGATTTGAACTTTGTTTCAGCTGTGACCATTGATAGCTAAGAGGGAAAAGGAATATCTGCTTGTTAGCTTTTTGCCTTCAATTCTCAAAGCCAAGGTTCATGTCTGATCTTAACATTCAGATTCCTAGTGCCTTCGGTATGTTCATTTTAGTTTTACAAATTGCATATATATTTCAATCTTTGTTTTGAAGACAAATGATTGTCTCTCTTTCGATCTCTATTGAACATGCATCACATGAAATGATGAGTGAGTTGAAATAATGTTTATATCACTTAAGACACTACATATATATATATATAAATTGAAAGTATCTTATAATACACGATATTTACGAAATACGATACATTATTTTGAAAAACGACACACCTTCCGATACACATTTTGACAACTTTAATAAGTAGTAACCCTTAATATCTTACAAGATCCAATCGACCTTAACTGGCTGCCCTAGCATTTTATCTACTTGGTTTCTTCAACATGTAGAGTTGATATGTTTCTTACCCTTCATCTCTTTGAGAAAGAAAAGAAGTGGGGGTGTTTTGGTGTGGGATGATGAGTGTGTGCAAATCCTAACCTTCCTTCAATGATGGCCATTAACATGTACCATCAATTGGGCAAGCTGTGGTTAGTTCTTGCCGAATTTTAGAGTATTTTGTTCTTGATTAGCAATGTGATTGTTGGTGTATTTCGTACCTTGTACATGTGATCAGACCTATTCGCTGAGGCAAATGCTGGGGACTCAGGTGCTGGTACAAAGGAGTATGTGCATATCCGTGTACAACAACGTAATGGTAGGAAATGTCTGACCACTGTCCAAGGGCTGAAGAAGGAATTCAGCTACAATAAAATTCTCAAAGACCTTAAGAAGGAGTTTTGCTGCAACGGCACTGTTGTCCAGGACCTAGAACTGGGCCAGGTAACCATTTGAATATAGGGTAAATCCTATTTGGCCCTCTAAAAGATACAAAAATTCTCAGTTTGTATCCAAAATGATTAATTTTCTCACATTGTCCCTCAACGAATAAAAAAAAATGTTGCAATGTGATCTACCGTCTTATTTCTGTTTGGTCATCCGTCTGTTTTGTGATACCTTACCACACATGCCTTTTTCATACTATTATGTTGGATTATGTCTCTAATCTTCTTGAGGATTGTTCTATTTGATGCAGGTTATCCAACTTCAAGGTGATCAGCGGAAGAATGTGTCAACCTTCCTTGTTCAGGTAATTATACGAACGACATTCTACTTGATGTAAGTTTTTCCTATTGGTTCTAGTTAGTGGTGGAACCGCCCCTAAATATTGGATGTTCTTCATTTATGTCATTTTTTTATCATAATTTTGTTCAATTTATCATGTTTGCCCCCTCCAATTTTTTTTTAAAATTATAAATTTAGTTATATTTTTTATTCAAATTTTGTTTAAGCTAAATAAAAATTAGTTTGGTTGTTTCATATATTAATTTAGTCTTGAATTTTAATATTTTTTTTTCGTGTTTAAACTTAAAAATTTTCTTTATATTAGCTGGTGAATTTCTTTATATTATATTTTTTTTCGTAGTCACATTTGTGACTCCGCCCCTGGTTCTAGTCATAAAATCTGTACCCTTTGTGGTTTTACCAGGCTGGCATTGTGAAGAGGGAACACATCAAGATACATGGCTTTTAAAATCCTTTGGCAGTGTACTAGTTTCCCCCCCGATTGCAACTTCTGTGTTGTATGCTTGTGATGTAAATTACATTGGCCTGTGGATGGAAAACTATTGCATGAATACTCAATCCCATGCAAAACTTTTACGCTCATCGTTTGTTGATGTTATTTATCCCTATGTGTAAGTGCCTAAATATATTGAGCGAGATTATTCTCATCTTACAAATATTCATTTACACTCCATTTAATTTTGGGTAAATTGCACCAATGGGTTTTTTTGGAAAAATTCTCTGTTAAGAATGCTTGGGAGAGTATTCGTCCTTATCCCTCTACGGTTGGCTGGTATCAGATAGTTTGGCACAAAAAGACTATTCCGCGTTATGTTATGATTCTACGGTTTGCAATCCGAGATAGGTTAAAACACTCAGGAAATTAAAACACTCAGGAAAAACTGCATGATTATGGTTTAGTTCCAAATGTTCAATGTACACCAAATATCAATGCATCAAGAGGTTGAAAATGCACTTTCGTCCCTAAAGTTTTAATTTCATCAATATTGTCCCCAAAGTTCAAACATTGAGTCAATTTGGTCCTTGACACTAATTGCCATCACAAAAATAGGTGAAAAACATCATGTGCTAGTCACGTGCATATTTTCAAAGGCATTTTTGATATTTTATAATAACCTATGCATCCAAACACAATTATTCTCTATCTGCACAATATTATACATACACCCAAACATGGATCTTCTTCTTCCTCCTTTTCTTTTTTTTTTTCTCTTTTCTATTTGTCTTGATGTGCTCTCTTTTTCCAGACCAAACATATTCCTCTTTCTCTCTCTCTCCCCTGTGTGTGCTGACTGATCCAAGACGAAGAATCAAAACCCCAACTCCATGTGACACCTTTCTCCTTTTAGCCCAACTTAATCCTCTCTATATCTCAAACCCTAGCCTCCATGTGACGCACAAACACCACACATCGCACAAATCTTTGTCTCAAGGATGCCAACACCGATCACACCACCCACCACAATGACAGAATCTCTCTCTCGGTTCTTGCACAGGTTTCTCTCTCTCTCTCTCTCTCTCTTCAGTTTTCGTTTACTTGTCCTGCCCCTCAAACCCACAAATCCTTCTCTCTACGTTCTTGCATTTGTCGCCCTCAAACCCAAAACATCTTCCCTCTCTCAAACCCCAACACATCCTCAAATCCAGCGGGAAGCAAAAGACTGATAAAGTGTCTTGCTTTAAAACTGGTCCTCAACCTTGCACAAACTACATGTAACACAATAACATATTCACAAGATATTAGCCAGGCTATCATCTAATCAAATTCGTTCCAGGAAATTAGAAAACGCTCCATTCTATGATACTGTTAAAGCACAAATGGAAAGGCAGCAGAGCACAAGAGAAATTGCAATGGTGAATTATATATCTTTCATTAAAAACATGATCAAACAAAAGCTACAAATAGCTATGACTACTGCATTCCCAATGATCACAATATATACCCAAACAGCCGACCAGGCATACACATACAGAACAAAAGTTTTAATACGAGTGTCATAGTGAAAGATAGAGACCAGAGAATGTAAGGGAACTGGTCAAGACATTAGCAGATGAAAGAACAAATAGGTAGCCAACAGCTTGTTTCCATCATACATTGCTTTGTTTGTAGAACTTGGTGTCAAGTACTTGTTTTCCGCACATTGCACATACTCCTGCACAAATACAAAGAAGTTCATACCCAGAACGTATTGCCAATCAAAAGCATGTCTCAAATTGCCAATTAACAAGTACACATTAGCTTTTAAGTATCACATACTACCTTTACTGTAAGCACAGGTGTGGCAATACTTGCCATCTTGATGTACTTGCTGCTTGCAGATAATGCACTTGGTTGTTCCGTAAGGCGTCCATCTGCAACGTAATGAATTTTGTAATACATCATTTGCATAATCAATGTGTAGAATGTGCTCAAAATAAAATGTAAAAAACTAATATTTTTTATGAAAGACGTATATGCACATAATCAAACACACAATTTTACAATTTACCCAACATCAACAGCAAATCTTAGGAACCAGGAAGAACACTAAGGTCAATGTCACACATCAGCCCCCAAAAAGGCCTACCCTTTGAAGGAGTGGACGAAAACTTATCAACAAGAATTCTACTGTAATGGGATTTCATATATTTTTTCTGAAAGACATGCACAGAATTAAACACACAATATTTTACTATTTTCACAACATCAACAGCAGATCACAGGAATCAAACAAAGAAAACAAGTATTCAACAAAATATTGAAAGTGACTAACAAATTGGAGCACACAAATCACAGCAGAATTTCATAGGCGAACACAACAAAGACATGGCGATGCAAGAACAAACTGAAAAGAAAGCAAGCAAACAAAAAATAAATTTTACAGCCCCACTCCACAATATACATCACCTAAAAACCAACAAAGAATTTGGAAAAGAACGTAATTAGTTAAATTCAATACTATTAAGTTTGGATTTCCTTGAAACACGCCCTAGGTTTTACCCATTGTTAAGTTCGCAACCTAACACCGAAATTCAAAATTCCCCACATCTCAAATCCATAGAACACCGCAATTTTATACATAAATTAGGATATAATTACGCACACACAGTGGTAGATGGGGGAGGGAAAGAGAGAATAATTACAGACCTCTGTTTCTTGGAGAGGAGCTTGTTCTCGTTGATCTTGCGGCCACCGCCTTCGGTGGTGTTGCTGGCACCTTCTTTCCATTTGTCGGGTACAATCACCTTCGACAGCTTCTTCTCACCTGTAACAATTCACCAAAACAAAAACCCTAAAAAATCAATGCTGAATTGTATATACCCAAATCTACAAATCACAAAATAGTTAGAGGAAGAAGAACTTACACTTCTCGCAGACCATTATTTTCTGTCGATTTTTCTCACGCAGCAGCCAAAAACACCAGACCAGAGATAGAAACTCCCTCTCTCCCTCTCTCCTTCCTATCAGAAATTGGTTTCGTAAGTCGGTAGATGATGACTCTCCTCAATTGACTAAAACACCCTTCCGGGGTTTTGAATTTAGACATTATTTGGATTGGAATCTTGGATTTTCTTATCAAACCCAAATTAGGAAATTCGTGTTCAATTACTCAATTCAATTCAAAGTGTAGATTGTTATCGATCTGAGTTCTATTCTCAGGTGACACAATTTGAATTAAAATTCAAGTTCACTTCCGGAGAACGAGCAATGATGGATCTAGGAAATAAATATCGATTAATTCTGTCATAACCGTCGCGATAATATAAAAGATACAAGCGTTTTCCGGAATAATTATTTTTTAAATCCATAGTTAAATCCTAGAGCTCAACTCTAGACGGGCGGTGAAAATTACCAAACTGGGGTATGATAGAAGTAGAGGGAATTTTTTTGATGGAAAGGTGAAATGCGTAGAGATCGAAAACAATACCACGGTGAAGTTATATTGAAATTTAAGTTGCGTCACTCGAGAATCCGAGCAACATTCAGATTAGATTTCTCAAATTTTCAAGATCAAATCAGAATTAATGGTTTCATATTCGAATAATTTAATTGAAAGTGAATTCAAATTTTAATTCTAGTTATGTCACTTGAGAATCAAACTCGAAGTGAACAAAATTTTTACTTGAAATTGATTGTGATACGGTACTTATTATTATTTTTGATTAGAAATGGTATTTCATTAATCATTAAAACATAGTAGATCAACTCGAAGGGAAGACAAAATACACTCTGTTTCCATCCCTGAGAATCCAATTACTAGAAAAGTTAGAGCATCCATTGATTTGATTGATAAAATGACCCATAGAAGATAACAGATTATGATCCTTCGAGATTGATTGAACCAAATTTTAGCTTGTTCTAGAGAAATAATTCCCAGAATTCGATCGAGCTACAAAACACCTATTATAATATCTAATTACCATCCTCGCCCACAAAAAAGAGTTTAAATCTAGTATGACTTAAATTAAAATCTTGGTTGTGTAACGTGAACTTAAAATTTTAAACATGAGCAGTACTTAGTTAAAGGATTAACATTGAAGTCAATTCGATTTGAACTCCGCTTTAAAGTTTTATAACTTCGGGTTAAGTCTTGATTCATCTTCCGTCCATTTTTTCCTTTGCGGGAAAGGAAATATACCTTATTTTTTACCTTTACAAACTATTAGTTCCTTTAAAAGCCGCACTCATTGAATTTTGTGCACCAATTTTCACTAGTATTTTTTTTTTGCAATTGATTTGGTTAAAAGTAAATAATAAAATAAATTACTAAACATTCAATAAATCAATACAAAACAGCAAAATTGTAATATATTCCAATAAAAAAAAATAGAACATGAAATTACTAATCTCTTGTTCATTAGGCCCATGGGCTCAATGAACACTCCTCAGGCAGGGTTGGGTATCTTTCAGTATCCTTGCAATAGTCATATATAACAAGGTTTCTCCCAATCCAAGCATAATCCATCTTCTGGTCATCTGAGAGATGCCAAGCATCATATTGATCCCACCAGTTTTCTGTGGTGGTGGATACGCATTCGGGATACGGGTCTTGCCATTGGCAACCATCGAGGCTGAAGTCCGTATACGACGACACAAATGGGGCTTTTTTCCAGTCTGTCTTCTCGAGTCCGCCTCTGGTTGCCCAGTCATCGGCATTCCATATGCTTGAGAACAAGTACATTGGCTTCTCGTTAGGGAAGAAATTGTTTGCATAATCTGCATTCTTGTACACCCTTATTGGAACTTTATCCACAAAAAACCTGTTTGCAACATTCAATTAGTGATTTTCCCGCCTATGTATAGATCAACGGGGCAAACAGTGGTTAACCACACAAAAAGGGGACTTACACAATCTGGTGATCATTCCAAAGGATAGAATAGAAGTGAAAATCCTCAGTGGGATCAAACCAAAGCATGTGCCTCATCTCACGACCTCCAGTCCCATTCTTGTACACATTGGTCTGTATAAGATATGGCTGCCCTGTTCTATTCCCCAAAAACTCTATATCTAACTCATCTCTCGTCGGACCTGCCCCATCTTCCGAGCACATCTGCATCAAAATTCCAGTTATACCCATACTCATCCACACAAATGATTAATTTTGCATGGATAAAGATGACATTTCATGATTCAACCAAAGGATACACTTACATAGTAAGCTGTCACAACTCCGGCCGAGTCGCCTCCGACCAACTGCATCTTCATGCTGAACCACCCGAATCTGTACCTCTCTTTTGTTTGAAACCCACAACCTATCCCAATCATTATGAAAAAGGGCACAACCCGATTTGATCCCGATTAATCCAGGTGTTGGGAGGGATAAACACATTAGTGAAATAATATGCATAGTTAGAGTTAAAAAACTCGGCCCGAAACCAATTGTCAATAAGTGGAGAGACTCACAAAACTCATATTCTAGTTCGGAAGATATCATTTTACACTTGAAGAGCTATATAAAAGATAAAAAAAACTCAAAGAATATAAAGATTTACACAAAACATAGCTCTAATATCGTGTTGAAACACACTACTCAAAATCAATTGACAATAAGAGACATTCACGAGACTCGGTATATGAGTTCGGCATATGGGCTTTGACTATGTGTTTATATGGAACGTATGTGGAGTGGATATTGTGTGATATATACCTGAATCTTTGGTCAATGACAGATACCAAGTCTGTCCATCTTCAGAGGTCTTGAAATGGCTTTCAGGACAAGATTTACTGAAATTATCATCAAATGAAACTTTTGACTGAGCTGCAGTGAATGATGAACAAGAAGAAGCAATAAGAGCTGCAATGAAGAGAAAAGTAGCCATTGAAGAAGCTCTTGTCTCCATTTTTTGCGGGGGAATTGAGATCAGAGGCTTCCCAGCTGCAACTCTGAGAAGAAGATGGGCAATAAATATGTGGTGTGCAAATTGAGGCCTTGTTCATGTCAGGGATACAACTGGAAACTGAAATTCTCTCTCCTGCTTTTATTTTTATTGGGCTAAAGCACACGTACATTTAACTCAAAAGGTAACTGAAATGGTAATAGGGATAAAATGTAAATTCAGTCGTTCTCAATTGAAATGTTGGCAATCTTTTGAGGTCAGGTCATGAAAGATTTATCTTTTATAAATATTTTAATTCTGACGTGAATAATCTGTTATTAACCAAATTAAGAAAAAGTTTAATCGAAATGCGCTTCGAATACTTTTAGCTGTTAAACTAAAAAATCATATATACATTTTGAGCCTTGTGTGATGCCCAAAACATCAAAATTTCTCCTCCCAATAAAGGTATAAAGGACTATTCAAATATCTCTAATTCTACACTTAAGCAAGTATTTAGATTAAACTTCTAATTTGACAATTACCCCCAAGTAAGTAAGCATGTCATCGAATCTAATATGAATTCGTTTAAAATTTGAACACAATAACTCAAACGTCTATATTATTATGGATTTGTCGATTGGTTGAGTCTCAAAATGCCCTCTTGAAAAAAAAAGGCCCTTGGTCTTCAATTGCAAAGAAGGGGAAAGAGGAGTGGACTTTGTTATTGGAATATAATAGATCTTTTTGTTTTTTTTTTTTTGGAACAGAAAAATCTCATGATCTGTCCTCAAAGAGTAGAGGCGCACCTATGTCGTTTAGACTCATAACTCTGAGTAGAACCAAGAGCAAACTCAGGTTCATGAACCGGTCCCTCAACTCATACGCCAATTCAATAAGGACTCAAAGACTTGAATATAATTCGTCCAAACAATTAATGTTTTATCCTACCAAGTAGCCACAAGGGGACTTCAAAACTCTGACTTTCCTCTGGTAAGCCAGAGACTCTGGCCAACTGAGCTATCCCAATTGGTTAATATAATAGATCTCGATTCCAACTAATGGACAAAAAATTATGATCCATATCCTACTATAATAAAAATAGATCTGATTTCAATGAAAGGGATATCCTCAAGCTAGTTCTGCCTTTTTCCTTCTTCAAGAAAGGGGGTGAAACCCGAAATTGAATGTTTGAATTATAATANCTCAAGCTAGTTCTGCCTTTTTCCTTCTTCACGAAAGGGGGTGAAACCCGAAATTGAATGTTTGAATTATAATAATTTTTTTTGGTTCAATTGTCAGGAGTGTGTAGATTAATTTATGCATATTTCGACTAATTTTTTATTCTATTCAGTCAAAATACAGACCATCCATACTGAAATTAAGTTATTTATAATGAATAAATTTTTTATAATTTATCTTTAAAAAATTATCAAAATTTAAATTCAAAATATTTAAATTTTCGCCCGTCAAAAGAATGGAATTTGACAAGGGCATCCAAGGAATTGAGCATATAAATAAAGACATACCGACAAGGTATACAAAAAAAAAGAAAGATGGCCAGATGAGAGTGAGAGGGAAGTCCAGGCTGCTATTCAAATTGGTTTTTGTGGTAGAAAATTACAGGTGGGGCCCATATGAATGTGAATCCTTTTAATAATAGGTCATACAAATAATGTGGAAAGTTCTTGGATTTGACAACTGGAAATTGCAGTAAGGGTCCCCCCAGAAGTAAACGGTTCTTGGGTTATTCTTTAATTTTACAGTAAATAAATAATAATAAAAAAAAGATAATGCAGAAGAATGGCCATGGACTTAAATTAAATATACTTATGCCCTTGCTTAGTTTTGNTTTAATTTTACAGTAAATAAATAATAATAAAAAAAAGATAATGCAGAAGAATGGCCATGGACTTAAATTAAATATACTTATGCCCTTGCTTAGTTTTGATTTTTATTGTTGCTTGTTTTGGTTTGCAAAAAAATTGGAAATTAACTCGAAAGAGTAGTTTAAGTGATAATAAGAACGAATTGTAAACTCAGACGTATTGAGTTAGAATTCTGGCAATTCTACCTTAGTTTCAACGTGAATAATATCATGAATACTCTAGTCCGATATAGATGACATGTCTTTGACCGGACCAGAGAGGAGATTAATCAAGGTGTCCATATCTAATTTGGACACTTTTGACCAACCCAAAAAAAAATAAAATACAAGATTAGAAATTAGTGGTAATCTAACTCGTAAATTGAGGTGACACAACCATCAATAACCAATGGGAGTTATTTAAGCCCGATATGGTTTTGACATTTATTTATTTAGGTTATGCTGGGGTTAACCTATTAGACCTCCGTAGTAAATGAGTTGATACAAAGTTTATTTTCATTTATAATTTATATAGATTAAACAATTTNAAAAATACAAGATTAGAAATTAGTGGTAATCTAACTCGTAAATTGAGGTGACACAACCATCAATAACCAATGGGAGTTATTTAAGCCCGATATGGTTTTGACATTTATTTATAATTTATATAGATTAAACAATTTTTGGCACAACACGCTCTATTTATGTTAGCTCTCATCCACCATACAACCCACAGCAATGGTGCATCTCTAAAATTGAAGATACACATTATTCATTGGTCTTTTTAGCTCTTATACTATATATTTGATTTTTTTTTATGTTATTAATAAACTACTGAAAGTAAGTTAATTTAATTAAAAACTTTTTTTCATTTTTGCCAAAAGCAGTGAAAAGTGTGTTGGGGGAAAAGAGCTGCTGCTAGTATACAAGACCAACATGCCAGTCACGGTAACCAATACTCCTTACAAAAAGAAAAAAAAAAGAAAAAGGAAAAAGTCACATTAACCAATAGAAGGGAAAGGACAATGTAATTATGTAGCCATTATCTTTATTCCATTGACCTTGACTATCCATGTGAGAGAGTAAACAATTTATACCCAGATCTTAAAAGATAGTTACCATTTGATTAATAGCCAGGGCTTGAATCTGACTAATAGTGGTCCCTCATTTTGAATTATTGGGTAGTTTATTAGATTGTGTGCTGGCAAATTTAGGAGCAATAAAGGGTACGAGGACGGGGAAGTTTTTTATTTTGAAAGACAGTTGCTTTTTTTATATATTTGGTCTTTTATATTGAAGACGATTGCTAGGGATGAGAAAGGGTATTGGACAACCCTTTTTTTTTTATAAATTATTAACTTTTTTGGAATATTTCGAGATACCACAAGTTANAGTTTATTAGATTGTGTGCTGGCAAATTTAGGAGCAATAAAGGGTACGAGGACGGGGATGTTTTTTATTTTGAAAGACAGCTGCTTTTTTTATATATTTGGTCTTTTATATTGAAGACGATTGCTAGGGATGAGAAAGGGTATTGGACAACCTTTTTTTTTTTTTTATAAATTATTAACTTTTTTGGAATATTTCGAAATACCACAAGTTCAATTTTTTTTGTATTTTTCATATATGCTTACCCTTTCTTAGTGTCAATTTGTTGGTGTATAGCCATAAAACTTTTGGATGACATTAGAACTTCAAATCAAATTCTCCTTATTGAAGGGAAAAAAGTAAAGACAAAAAAAGAATTTTTTTTTTTGGGTGGGGAATTTGGTAATTAAGACAAAATTGAAGTCTTCTGATTATAATACTGCAAAGTATAGTGGTATTTTCTTGCAATGGGCGTAAAGAGAAGTCTTCTTCTGTAGGCTTATCTTAAAGAAAGGAATACAACTCAGAACAGCTCCTAGTGTTGTGAGGTGCTTAACTCATCCATCTCGTGCTCTCACGTGTCCTACAGTATGGAGTCACGTGCTATAGGTGTCGGTGGAAAATGGGTAAAGCCTTATTGGATCTAAATCTATCTCCATAAGTGTTGTCCTCCCCCTAATTCCCAAGCACTGTCCTTCCAATTAGTTATAGCAACTTTCCAATAAGATAATAGCTAATAGCTGTTATGGGGACCCATTACGGTACTAATTTTTTTTTTTTGGTATTATATCAAAAAAAATCTCAAAAGATGATAATTTCACCCAAAAAAATAGTAATGTACCTAAAACGTTATAAANTGTTATGGGGACCCATTACGGTACTAATTTTTTTTTTTTGGTATTATATCAAAAAAATTTTTAAAAAAATCTCAAAAGATGATAATTTCACCCAAAAAAATAGTAATGTACCTAAAACGTTATAAATAGACCCAAAAAGTCGATAAACTCAACCTACAAAATGGTTTGAATACTCCAAAAATACAAATAATAAGTGGTACGAAATTTTTTTCCCGCCAAACCCTGGTAGTTATATGAATAGCTGAACGAAAAAGCCNAATAGACCCAAAAAGTCGATAAACTCAACCTACAAAATGGTTTGAATACTCCAAAAAAACAAATAATAAGTGGTACGAAATTTTTTTCCCGCCAAACCCTGGTAGTTATATGTATAACTGAACGAAAAAGCACTCTCACCTCACTAGAAAAAGAAAAATAAGTAGTAGCCTAGTGAAAAATAAGTAGTTTAATGATTTAACTTGACATCGAGTAACTCAAAAGTTTCAGGTTCAATACTTTTCATACTCTTAAAAATTTGCCACTCTTATTCTTAAGGAGCATGTTCTAAACCTGCTCGGACCATGGTGGACAGGACAGTAGCTGAACTCAAAGGAGAAGTAGGCGCAAGCCTGGAGGCTTGCTTGCATCGTAGGATCTCAAAATTGTTAGATGTACCCTGCTAATCTCCGTGTATAAAAAGATTGTTTTCATGACTTTAACCCGAAATACCCAAATCAGAATAAAATTCAAGCGCATTTCTTGTTGTAGACACCAAAAAAAAAAAATCATTCCGACACATAAACAACTTGATATATAAAAGGTGGTGGCTCGGAAAGGAGGTCCCAAATGAAGTGGAGGAAGACTGCCGGCGCAGAGTAGTTTAAACTTGACACTGCCGGTGAAGAGCCCAAATATGCACCGAGTCATCGAAAGCCGGCCATCTCGGGTAACTTAACTGCTTGAGACGGGACGTAAACCATAAGACATAGGACCCGTGGTATATTCAGTGATGGCCATTATGAAACAAGGACCGAGTGAATCCATTTTTATGTAACATGAGAAAAAAAAAAAGAAAGAGATGTCCGTAACTACTATAATAGCAAAAATGAACGTACCTAACTTCTATATTGCTGTCATCAGGAATCTTGGCAAGTATATAGTTTTACTTGTCTTGGCCAAACTTGACCATAAACATCCTTCTTGTAATAACGCCGGTCCCAAGACCAGGGAACATCTGTAGAAAGAAGAAAAACGGTTAGCCATAATCAATATGGTAGAGAAGCACAGGCAAAAAAATGAAGCAATGCATAACCTTCAGCAGAGTATCGTTGAGGAGGGAGCTCATAAGGCACAGGCAATTGAATTACTTCACATGAATCTGCATTCGTGTTCCCTTGCTTGGCCAGTGTCACCAATGTTGTTCTCTTGGCTTCAGAATTTTTCACCAAATCATTATTGTCCTGAAAAACGATAGTCTCTAGGCTGATGATGTGAATATTCAAAGTTTCACACACACGCACACACATTCACACAAGAATTGAAACAAAGTGATGTAACAGAGGGATCAAGACTTAGCTGATACCTTTGCTGGATAGCCATCATCTGTACAAGAAAATTTACTTCCTGGTTTAATGGAAGAAGGTAAGAATAGCACTCCAAGCTGCAAGGAACCACACAAGATGTATCGATACAGAATCTCAGTTTTCAAATGGTGTANGGTTTAATGGAAGAAGGTAAGAATAGCACTCCAAGCTGCAAGGAACCACACAAGATGTATCGATACAGAATCTCAGTTTTCAAATGGTGTATTAGAAGCAAAATTGTTGAGAAGCAGATAATTTCATGTGCTAGCATTCACTAGGCCAGGATGTCATGAAATCAAATCTTGGAGAATGTATCGGTTAACCAGAATGAAGCACATCAAACTTCGTTATTTAACTGATCTTCCCTGTAGAAAGCTTCAAACAAAAATACCTCATAAGAACGGATCATCAACTGAGAATTGTTTTTCTGGAGTGCTCCCCAGGCAGCTTTGCTGAGGTTAGATGAAGTTAGCAAAAACCACCTACCAAAGAAATTGAAAATGTCATCACGACTAGCATGATTTAGCATAATAATCTAGAATAAAAAAGTAAGCATAATAATCTAGAAGAAGATGGACATTGAAATGAATTCTTACGCAAGGTTTTGACCATTATAACGCGCGAATGTCTTTATATGTGGCATTGCACGACTGATACATTAAAGAGCACAACCATTAGTATCCTTCCAAAAACTTTGAGCAGGCATCGAGAAAGCTTGGTAATAAGCCCATACTAAAACCAACGAAAATCAACTTGTGCAGAAAATAAATTTAAAGCATGATGCTTCAAATATTTATCTAATCAAGGACATCAACACACTCATAAAGCAAAATGCTATAAGGAATTTCAAAAACCCACCCGCCCCTTGCGGAGGCTCAACTTTAAAGTGAATTTGTTGTGGAAAGAATGCGTTATGACCTGTGGCTGCCTGCCTGTTGGGGATGGATCCTCCGTTGTGGGTAAACGAGAAATCCAACCCTAAAAACCAGAAGAAAGGCAGCACAGCAGTAGTAGGGGGCATTAAGATTGGACCCGGGCACCATCTAGTGGTAAATTGGATGGTCGATTCTCATGTATTTCAAGTTTTATCATTTCATCTACGACAAAAACACCTTTTACTCTCTCAAGTTCTACAAAATAGTGCTTTTTTTTGGTGGAGGAAACAGTGGAACTCGTAAGAAAAGGAAACGGGGAAGGGGCGTCTGTGTAGTGTGTAAAACACTGATGACTAGTAATGAATATGGGCCATAATTAGTACATCTGTCAAAAGCATGCATTACCACAAACCAACCATGACCAAACTTAAAACCCAAAAAGGAATTTTATAAACTTCGCCTAAATTTCAAAAGTTGCTGAAATTGATGTGCTATTTTGTTTTTTCTTTTACTTAAACCATGTCTCAACTTATCATTCTCTACTTGAGCACCACGGGTCATGTCATAAGGTGGTTTTAGTGGCTGGGAGAAGGGAAAGGTAAGAAAGAAAATCCTGTCACTCCAATAAATGAATGAAACAGCACTTCAGTAGTGCACACATCCCGGATTTCACTGAACACCCGATTATTAAACAAATACTGTTCAAATACATGTAATGAAAGTGATATCATTACAAATGCCATTAGAAATTAGAGCAATTCTAAAAGATGATAAATATTTGTCAGTTTAGTCGAGTAGACAAGAATCTAATTGCCATTGAAATGCAAGAGGCGAAGTGGTACTACGAAAAAAAGCTAATTAATGATAGGTAGCATTCCGTTGTCTAAAATATACAAAAAATGAACCACGCAGTACCCGCGACCAGTGTGGCTTGCTTTCCATTTCGCCCAATATTTCTTTAAGAACTCTTTCTCCACATTCTTTAGTGGGCTTGGAATGGCATTTCCAGCTGCATAACCCTGGAGGGTAAAGAAAGACAAGAGAAGCAAAACAAACTCAACTAATGCCTCCAAACATGAACTCAAAGGGCAAGCTGATGAAGCTTGATAACTCTTGAAGAATCTAACAAACAATTCACACCTGTATATGAATGTGCATGAGCCACTTAAAATACGCAGCAATTAACAGCAGAACAGATCAACAAATTTGGCCATGTTACTCAAGTATATGAAGTTCCTATTACACTAGTTACCGTAGATTATAATATGATTAGAGTTCCCAAAGGCAGCCACTAAAATGACTATGCATTCTTCCTTTTAGACCAAGGGAAATATGATTAAAATCACAAAAAAATGAAGTGATACAGAGTAATGCAGTACTCTACTAATATTACCTCTAAAGAACATCTGACATCTTCCACTGTAGGCCATATTATCAATGGCTCCCCCACACCCAAAGGGGTTTTATCTTTTGAGACTCCTGATGACATTGAGAATGCTAGCTCGGCCATCCACTTCTCATCCAAAGAACCTAGAGAGGAGAACTGCATAAGGCAAGCAAATGGAAGCATTAGAACAATGCCTACAAGGAAGCAATATCTACAGTACCGATGTTCTTTCTAGAAATATTGCAAAAGAGATATTATAGGGTGGTTAGTGGATACATGCATAAATGTGACTACAGAAAGAAAGTATATGGCTCCATAGCATTTAATAGGGGTTCTGAAATACCTGATAAATAAGAGGAGACTTCTGAAACTCTTTGTCAAAAACACACTCCTGCAGAACAGCACGCATCTTCATATGTCCCCACTTTTTCAAATTGGAGCCTGAATGGTAACCAGGTATGGATGCAATTAACCTGACCTGGAAGATACAAAACCAAAAGGTTCCATACATCATGATGTGAAGTGTTAAGGTTATGTTGTTTCAAGCATTTCATCAGTAACTAAAAGTTCCACGCAAACCANCCAGGTATGGATGCAATTAACCTGACCTGGAAGATACAAAACCAAAAGGTTCCATACATCATGATGTGAAGTGTTAAGGTTATGTTGTTTCAAGCATTCCTAACAGGAACAAACAAAATACTCAGAATCAAAGGATAAGACACTCAATTACTTGTCAGCCCCGCTTTTCACCCCTCCCTCTCACTCTCTCCAACTCCAACCCCCCCCCCCAAAAAAAAATAAAAATTAAATAAATAAATAAAATTTGCAGGACTAATTTGTAAGAGCTGTGTGGAAAAATAGAAGCTAAGGCTCGGACGAGTTAGCCAAGGTATCAAGTGATGCATTAGCATGTCCACAAACAAATCCTAGATTTTTTCTTTAACATCTTATGCTCTCTAAAAGAAATGAGGTATTATTTAGGGAGACACAATGTTTGAAGGCAAGGAAATGAAACAAATACCACTGCACTGCTGTAATCAAACTTCTTGAAAAACGATGAATTGATATTGAAGCTGCCAAGGGCTGGTAAATTAGCATTAAATTCTGGCCACTGCAAACATTCAAATCAAAAGAAAGAAACCCAAAATTNCACTGCTGTAATCAAACTTCTTGAAAAACGATGAATTGATATTGAAGCTGCCAAGGGTTGGTAAATTAGCATTAAATTCTGGCCACTGCAAACATTCAAATCAAAAGAAAGAAACCCAAAATTAAGAAAGATATAAAATGCAAAAACAACAATATCAAGCTTTATTTGCCATAAAAATCTAACATAATATTTAAATTCATAAAAAGTTTCAAATTAAATAAATACTAAATCAACATGGTTCTGACAAATATACTTCAAACATCAAGCTTGTTATCCACGAGTCTCATATGTGTTCTACAATCTGTTATCTCTATGCCTAACACAGGCATACCAAGGTGACTGGTTAGCTACCCTGTACCCTACGACGACAAAAGGATACACGATTAAAAAATTCAACACAGTTATCTTACATGGAAACATGAAAATATACATTAATTTCAAGCCACAGGATATGAAGTAGAAAGTACTACTCGTAATACCACCAAAGTGAGTTATCAGGTTGCTGAGAGGAATTATCCTACTGGTTCGAAATGTCTTGTCTTGTCTTTCTTTCCTTTCTTATGGTTGCAAGTTTGGCAGAATACTACTGGTTTGAACTGTCTTGTCTTGTCTTTCTTTCCTTTCTTATGGTTGCAAGTTTGGCAGAAAATACTGATAAAATTCGTCATTAATGATCCTCAACTCAAACTTCATTAAGAATCCAGATATTCAATATCATAAAATTGAATTTTATTAGTACCTTCAATGCACTGAGATAATCAATCAAATCACTCTCAAATCCACATGCTTTGCTAGAACTGTTTTGATCCTTCCATGGGAAATCTTGCATCCACAAACCTTGGCTTTTGTTGTTCCAATCAACATGTATTAAGTTTGCTGTATGTACGATAATTCTCACTCCTTGCGGATAGACAAGAAGCATGGCTTTTGAATGGTGTGTCCCATAAGAGATGGGTAACGGAGGTTTGTGCAGAATCCAATTTGCAGGCTTCTTTCTCTAGAAAATCATTGGGTAGTAAAATTCAAGTTCATGTCCTTGAACAGAGCTTTAAATGCACAATTAAGATCAATATAGCTTAGAGCCACTGCAGACCTTCATATACTCTAGGGTACCGTCGCCCTCTCCATGAAGGACCAAAACATGAGGGACCTTTTTTAACGTTGGACACACTACACGGATAAGGAAAATAAGATACCAAAGATCATTATGCTGAAAATGAAATAGATAAAGCATTTAGAAAAGTAAATAACCAACAGAGATCTCTACATGAAAACATAGCAATAACACCATACTTGCAGTAGATGCCTCTGAATAAGGCACATCATATTTTGCAGAAGATTCAAGAAACAATTTTACAGTACAAAGAGCCATCTAGGACAATTAGCATACGCACAATATTGGCAGGGAGTTCCCAAAATTTACTAAATAGAGATGAAAAACAATAAATCACACATAAAATCAATGGTGAGCAAAAANAGAAGATTCAAGAAACAATTTTACAGTACAAAGAGCCATCTAGGACAATTAGCATACACACAATATTGGCAGGGAGTTCCCAAAATTTACTAAATAGAGATGAAAAACAATAAATCACACATAAAATCAATGGTGGGCAAAAGNCAGTACAAAGAGCCATCTAGGACAATTAGCATACGCACAATATTGGCAGGGAGTTCCCAAAATTTACTAAATAGAGATGAAAAACAATAAATCACACATAAAATCAATGGTGAGCAAAAAAAGTGATTAACTATGATGCCACAAAAAGTATTAGCCTCTAAGTCAGGGAAAAGTGAAATAACTCATTATTGTAGTGCGTCCCTGTGAACACACTGCATTGTCAACAGAGAAAACAATATGAACAGGTGCATAGACGAATCAGCAATAGCGGGATGGAAAGTAATAACAGGTAAGGCAGACTGTATCTATGTGAATTTGCATAGTGAAAACAAATTGGGAAGAAACATAGAATATGTCTTTAAACGTTGTAGAGACTAAAGAGTACATGTCTTGTAGAAGCGGAAACATCAGCTTCTGAATCACCTAAGATCAATAAAAATATCGTTTTCTAGTAGTTCAAATAAGATAGGGTAAGTAGACCCAACAGAAAGTAGCACCCACCACTGAACGGAAAACACAGTCATATTGAATGCAACTCACCGGAAAGTAACCAGTCAAGGTCCACCATATAATTTGAGAGGATAGCAATAAGTACATTTCCCTGCCAAACAAATAATCAATGAAACTTCCGCTATTTCCATGAATCCAGTTTTTTTTTCCAGGAAGGTACACATGAATCCAGTTGTAGAAGCAATGCACAAATGACCAACAGAAAAATAACATAGGCTGAGAATATTTAGCTTAAAACCGGACAGTTTTCCTTCATCCACCAAACCCAACTCTGTCGAAATGGTTTACAAATCAAAATGTTCATTAAACAAGCAGCATTTCCTTTTAATTTTCTTCTGCAAGAAGAAAAACAGACCATAGTTATATCATTCAAAACCCATTATATCCACACAGCTACAAGCTCAAAATATTCTGCAAAAATGTATAGTAATCTACAGACCATACTTAATATAGAAAAATGGTTGATGTTGCACTAAAAATTTCTCTGTGCAATTTTGAGCCGAACTTAAAGCTACATCTTTTCTTACCTTCCCACATTTGAGAATATGATTTCCAATAAGAAAGCAANATCCACACAGCTACAAGCTCAAAATATTCTGCAAAAATGTATAGTAATCTACAGACCATACTTAATATAGAAAAATGGTTGATGTTGCACTAAAAATTTCTCTGTGCAATTTTGAGCCGAACTTAAAGCTACATCTTTTCTTACCTTCCCACATTTGAGAATATATCGCTAAGTTACCCTGTTCATATGCAAACCTTTTGCAAACAGCTCTAATTTCATTTTTATGGATTTGCGTAACCATTACCTGAATCACATCCCCTATAGAAACAGCATTTGTATTAGCCCATGTTGGCAGCCCTTGGACTTTCAACAGTCGAAAAGTCGAAGGTAGTTTATCTTTAGGAATGTTAAAATGACGAATGGCCTCTGAAGAGCTTCCTTGTTTTAAACCACCATCGTCATNACAGCATTTGTATTAGCCCATGTTGGCAGCCCTTGGACTTTCAACAGTCGAAAAGTCAAAGGTAGTTTATCTTTAGGAATGTTAAAATGACGAATGGCCTCTGAAGAGCTTCCTTGTTTTAAACCACCATCGTCAAGCTCGGCCTATACAATACAAATGAAATGAAAACCATAGCAACAAAAAATTGAGCCAATGTTACCAAAAAATATTCTTTTCAGCTAATCTTTTCATAGCTATTTCATCATCTAGTGATTGTTGCAGCTTCGTAGTACTAAAACTGAATATCAAAAATCCAATACCTTCAACTTTTCTGAGGAAGCTTTGTCAGAAACTTGTCGCATCCTCTTCTGATTTAGTCCTTCACCTTCACTAAGCTTACTTGCCTCATTGGAAGCCCTTTTTAGCTTATTAGGTGAAGATTGGTTTTTCTCATCCTTCACAATGACATACTTGAAAAAGTAATGCCCAGGAATTAATTCTATAACATCACCATTTTCAATTCTCAACTTTTCTTGAGACTTAATCCTCTTCCTTTGATCCTGAGACCTAACAACAACTGGATTCGTCCCCTCCTACAAATCAATTGACTACATCAAACAATACCCACCATTCTATATTAACCGAGACCCAGTTTTCTTAAACGATCACATGACTATAAACCAGTGATTTTCTCATTGAATTAGGTATGCATATACATGTGTACGATAATGCCTATGTACATATGTTGAACTCAAATAAAACCCCAAAAAAGAAAAAGGGATACCACAAGCAAATCAGCAGAGCCATCGAGAGATGCGTTTATAGTGATATGCTTGCGGCTGAGTCTTTTATCTGTGACCTTAATGTCATTCCGGCCGATAGTATGAGAGCCTTCAGAGAGTGGTATTTTGGGGATGGAAGTTTTTTTTTCCTCCAGATTTTCACTCAAAGGCACCAAAAATCCAACCTTTACATGGGGAAAAAAGGGAAAACTTCAAAACATAACAAAACAACATGTAAAAATTAAAAAGAAGAGAGAAGTGGGTTGTAGAAAAGGTACCTTGGGAGAGTCGGTCATTGCTGAGTTGTTGTTCACGGCAGGAGAGAGTAATGAGGAGGACTGGCATGTGCTCAGGGAAGCATTGTGGAAGTGGAATGATGAGGAAGAGAATGTTATTGGGGAATTAGAGAATTGAAGAGAGTAAATTAGGGGAAACTTTTGGGGTGTGAATTTGGGTTTTGGTTTCGGTTTTGGGTGAAGAGAGAGGTGAGAGAAGAAAAAGAGCTCCGTGGGGGTTGAGGGGTCGAAGAAATTGGTAGATGCTTCGGTTCTTGTAAATTCGCGCGCCGTGAGTTGGTAGACATGCACCAATGGTACTACCTAGCACACAGTCCAACAAATAGCATTTTCTTTGGTTTGTTCGGATTGAGTCTGAGTGTTCGGGGTGGATTTACAATTTTCAGTTTCATCAAAGATAAGTTATTCCTTTTAAAATTAAAAAATTCATGATTTAACCCAAAGAAAATTATCAAGTACCCAACCAATTTTGAGTTAAATAGACATCTATGTCAAAGACTATGAATTAAATTTAATTTTAATTTAGTTTCTCAATTATGTAATCGAGGATTCAATAGTGGCCTTATGGCCAACCAGTGTACCGTTGAACCTAATGATCGTTAATTCAAATCTCATCCAAACATCTGAGGGCTCAAATCCAAACTATCATCATCATTTATAACCTGGAAAGCAAAAATGAAATGAATTGATGAAAATAACCAAGGCAAGTTAACCTTCATCTCAACATGCTTACTCAATATATCAGCATGCTTACTTCCTGTTAAATTGGAAAAAACATAGGAACCAATCATGTCACCTCGAGAAAACTTTCATTTAAACCTGCCCTTCAAATTTCATATTTTGAGTTCTACAACATTGCAATCAACCCAACTATTTGGGGTTTCCATAAAAAAGAATTCTCTCTGNTACAACATTGCAATCAACCCAACTATTTGGGGTTTCCATAAAAAAGAATTCTCTCTGCCTATCCAATATCGATCATCCAAGTCAACACTCATCGAAAAAAAAGTATATGCTTTTGCTTTCCTTTCACTTATACATTGACATCTATAATGAATAATCATCAGTATTAAAATGAAGGAGATNTCAACACTCATCGAAAAAAAAGTATATGCTTTTGCTTTCCTTTCACTTATACATTGACATCTATAATGAATAATCATCAGTATTAAAATGAAGGAGATAGCAGGGCAACAAAATCTGCTGTCCTCTGCGCGCTTTTAGTCTTTTGACAGTCCAACAGGTGATTTGGAGAGTCGGAATCTGGGATCTGCTACCTTCTACGCTTAGACTCCTTCCGCATCTCTGCCATGTAGCTCTCAAAATTGGATTTCTCCCATAATTGTCTCTGAATAAGATCTTCCTTTGTTGATTCATCTAATAGATTCACAACAAGCATCAGGCCATAAACAACAACATGATGCAACAATCCATGTGAATTCATCTTAATGATTGATGAACCCAGAATTTGATAATGAAGATATTCCAGGGCAAAAAATTATGCACCGAGGAAATTTTACATTGCGAGCACCACGNAATCCATGTGAATTCATCTTAATGATTGATGAACCCAGAATTTGATAATGAAGATATCCCAGAGCAAAAAATTATGCACCGAGGAAATTTTACATTGCGAGCACCACGATGACCCAAGAGCTTACAAAATTGACTATAATGATGCCACTTGCTGGGAAAATAAGAATGAATAGAAAGATAATTTGAGAAACAGAAGTATAGTTACCAATATATCTCCAAGAATCAATAGGGACCCCTAGGGCTTTTTGTGTTAGGTAGGAAGCATCTTCCCAAGAATATGGAGCCCGTTTTACCTGGTATCTCCATAACCAACATACATACCACAAAAATAGCTGGAAGGACAACAAACTGATCAGAAATTATTGTATAGGATATGCTAAGATTCGGTTCAATGTTTACAATGTTTAGTAGACAAGTATAAAAAAATAATCAATCAAACAATTGCACAGGAAACGATAGTTGTACCTTCCCAATAGTGTAGGGCAAAAGTATGACCCGGACACCAAGAAGTTCCCATATGGATGGTTTGTCAGCTCCCTTTATGTCCAGCTCAAGTTCCTTGCTGAGCTCCTCATCCGTATTCCTGTCATAGGACCAAGGTTCAAACATCTTATCCACAGTTAAACTATTCATGGAATGGGCTGCCTGAATCTCTAGAATAACCAATACTAAAAAGAAATCAATGGCTCACACTAAATTTCAAGGCATAAGAAGCCATCTACCACTCAAACATACATTTGGTCTAAGAATGTTATGCTAATCAAAACCGAACTAAGATCATACTTGTCTATCTGCTTGTGACTCTTCTTCTTTTTTGTTGTTCCCCCATTACGTTCAAGTTCCAAAGCCCGTAGTCTATTTTTGTAAGCTGGTGTTTTCTTGACCATGTCTACAGCCTGCAACAAGGATAACAAATTTTTAGACTGTCACCAAAAGAGGAGAAAGAATGAAGGGGGTGGGGGGGTGGCATTGGATAAGGAAAATATCACTTTCCTCCTCCATTGTATGCTCCAGTGTGTATGTGTGTATGAATTTCCCAGATAGGCAGGTGCATACTCATTTTTCAACAGTATCACAATGAAACGGTTTTCAAGCATAAAGGAAGGCTAGAACTCGGGTTTCTACAAAAGTCCAACACCTACTAGTTAGAGTTAACTGTAGTCCACCAATAAACGAACAGTGACTTCATGCTATGGATGAGAGAGACATACTCTGTAAAAGTCAAAATTTTCAAGGCCAGCATGCCAGCTAACCAGTTAATAACGAATATAATTATTAAAAAAGTTAAAGAGGTCATTCACATGAACTTATAAGATTGCTCACTTTCATATGCTTCCTTCCAGGGGGAATTGTGACGTTTAACAATTGTACTGAATAAATAGAAATTAACACTTTAATTATAATGGCGACATGATTGAAAATTCTTCTAAGCTGAACAAGAACTCCTACAATTAACCTCTTCATCAAACATTAATGCATAAAAAATTCGATGATAGCACTTTAAAGGTAACATCTGCCATATCTGTTACCTGGTTATACCTCGTCCACTGATTCAGGTACTGAAATGCTGAAAGAACCAAAAGCAGACCCACAAGGACAGCTCGGGGATCCTGACAAGTAACCATATACTGTTAAAATCTAATAACTGAATCACAAATCTATACATTTCTACTGTCAGAAATAAAAAATAATACACAAATATCAGTAGGATTGAAAACTTCTCACCGTTTTATGACCATAGTATGCATGATAGTAGCGAGCTGTATTGTAAAACACCTGATTCAGCGAAAACAATTAGACTTTTACCATTGTCAGTAATCTGTCTAACTAAAACGATGATGCACATCAAAAAATTACTCGATAATAGTTTTTATGCCCCCTCTGAGATCAAAGATTGAGGCCACAATAGAGAGTGAGACAGAGGCTCTCGACAAGGCACATAGCAAACACTTTAACATCTTAATGAATTGCCAACATAACAAATACACAAATCAACTGAAACAACTCAAAATAGGTGCCTGGTAAATGCTCGCAACACTCATCTAAAGCCCCATTCACCCCCACAGAATGCTAAAAGATATCAGAACCTAGCTACTGAATTAAAATCAGAGTGAAATGGCACCATATGAAACACTCAATATGGATTGAATTCTCGTTTTATAGTCAGCCTTAAAATTTTCGTACTCGTTACCGCATGGGCTAAAGAAGGCGAGAAACGTGAACTGTGGAGGCAAAATATAATCATCCACAATGTGACAAGGTTTTAAAAAGAAAGCTCAGTCTAGTACATTAAAAGAGTGTAGTCAGCTAAGATAATTGGTACTGATCAAAGAAACATAGATAGAAAATTTGGCTTAGAAGTTTGCTCTCCGTTATCCGGTATGTGATATGACCAGAAGAACAATATTGAAGAATGAGGTTTCTTGCAACAACAGCAACAAGCCAAAACTGGGAAGAATTACATCACATTCCCTTCATGTACCTCTCAATGATGACAATTTAAGTGTTGGAGAGAAATCAAACCACCGACGCCTTAACAGAAGATAGAATGCCACTTATTTAGTTCTTGACCAGCTGATTTCGACACAGTAAAGGGTGGTGCTAACCCTTTGGCTGTTTCCAGGCACTTTAAATGAAATTTAAAACATGAATTGTTTAAGCTAGGATAAACAGAGTGAAACATCGTGANATTTAGTTCTTGACCAGCTGATTTCGACACAGTAAAGGGTGGTGCTAACCCTTTGGCAGTTTCCAGGCACTTTAAATGAAATTTAAAACATGAATTGTTTAAGCTAGGATAAACAGAGTGAAACATCGTGTTTCTATAAACTTAACTCGGAAAGGAAAATTCACACCAATCACCATAAACAGGCATATCTTAACCAATGAAAATGATACATGAAATGATAGAAGGTATCGAAATGTAGGGTGGTAAATGGATGCAGTGTTCTTAACACTGTACACATAAATACGCCTAATATTAATTTGAAAATTCCAAGAGCAAGTACTCAACTCACCTCCTCTGGATGTGCAATTGCATAATCATATTGCTCCCTTGTGGCTTCATCTTTCAAAATCTGCAATAAAATGTAAGTTGGGTCGCTTGTAAGTTCCAATGTTAGATAGAGCGCACTTTCAATCCAATGGTTGCATTGAATTAGACTCCCGAATTAGGTCCAAATAGCATTTTTCATCCACAAAATTACATTCAACTAACCATCCGTTTGGGTCATGGGATTAATGAACAAAGGAATATAAATCATAAAGATAATCACTTTTTCTTGTCTGGTTGCCATGGGGAATAAGGAAAAAAAAACAAAAAGTAGGCAAAGAGTAATGCTAAACAAACACATAAAATTCACTAATTCTGCAAATAAAACGGGTTATAATTGAACATAGGGATGAGTTGTAAAGTGTCAATTACCTCATAAGCATTTGCTATTTTAACGAACAACTTTTTCGATTCCGGATCGGGATTTTTATCTGGATGACTGAACACAAAATCACGTGTCATAAATCAAAATCGAAAACAATACCGATAATTAATCCCACACACAGTAACATACTGTTTCAAGGAGAGCTTGTAATAAGCTTTCTTGATTTCCGAAGAATTAGCACTTTGCGATACCCTATAGAAAAAAAAAATCAATTAAGACATAAATCAGCTGAACAGAGTACATTAGGGAAAAGGCGGAGAGAGAGAAAACGGAGAGAAGCGTACCCCAATAGATCGTAGCAATCCTCTTCGTCGCAGTAGATGGAAAACGACGGTTGGATCAGAATGGACAGCGACAGAACGAATGCGACTGTGCACCAGCGAATCGATGCTGGTGTTGGCGCCATCGTCCTCTCTCTCTCTCGCTCTCTCTCTTTCTCTGCTTCGAGAGTAAAGACCTCTCGACGCTTGTTTTCAGTCAAAAATGGTGTTTTTTTAAAATTACGAAGATGCCCCTGTTACGAAGTAATCAAAATTTCTTTTCACGACCTAAGAAACAGAAATATTTGGATCAATTTCAAAAATAGTTTGACTTGTTTTGAAAATTGAATGAAGACAAATAAAAATTTGAGAATTATTTTTTTAATTGATCGAAATATCTATATAATAAACTAGTTTATAATTCAAATTTCAAAATATAAATAAAATAATTTTTGTTATTCGCGGTTAAGATCGTTTTAAATTTTACTTTGATTAATCTAACGACTAATATTAACACCCTAAATTCAATAAGAAAAATATGCTTCTAAGGGTGTGTTACAGTGATTTTTTTAAAAGCAATTTTAAAAATTATTTTTCATAAATACTTTAAAAAAAAATAGTGTTTCGAACTGCCCCACCACAACCTCTACCATCACCACTGTCACTGTCGCTGCCTCCACCACCACTGTCGTCGTCGCTGCCACTACCACTGCCGTCGCCGCCTCCACCACCGCCACCACCATCATCATCACCGTCGCCGCCACCACCACTGCTATTGCCGCCACTACCACCATCATCACCGCCCTCGCTACAACCACCCCCTGCTGTCGCCACCACCGCTGCCCTCACCGACACCATCAACACCGCCATCACCATCCCCCACCACTGCCACCATTATTATCGTCGTCGCTACAACGCCCACGGCTACCACCACCATCGTCGTCGCTGCTAGTACTACCACCATCACCACTGCCCTCGCCACCGTCACCACCACTAGGTCTGTCAAAATTCAACACGACACGGATTAAACGAGTTTAGATGAAACCTTAACGGGTTCGGGTGATAAACAGGTCATNATCACCACCGCCCTCGCCACCGTCACCACCACTAGGTCTGTCAAAATTCAACACGACACGGATTAAACGAGTTTAGATGAAACCTTAACGTGTTCGGGTGAGACATGTCAACCCGTTCAAATAAAATTAATATAATAATAAATTAAAAATTATTTTTAAAAAAATTAACTATAATTTTTTTTTTAAATGATAGCCACCAAAAAATATATAAAGTTATTTTGTCCTAAACCTAATCTAATTTCATAATTGCACCTACTGTCTATAGGCTGAAGCTTTGTTGTGCGCCTCCAATCCATGCCCTCCTCCATTCTTCTGCTATTCTGCTCCTCTCTCTCTGGCATAGTGTGTTGCGAGATCGAGCAAGACTTCGAGTAGATCTATGTTAGATCAAGCGAGCTGCGAGATCGAGTAAGATTTCGAGTAGATCTATGTTAGCTCTATAAATATTCTTTGTTATTTGTTAGATCTATAAATATTATTTGTTATTCTATGTTAGATCTGTAAATATTCTTTGTTATTTGTTATTTGTAATTTGTAAATATTCTTTGTTATTTGCAAGACTTCGAGCAAGCTGCAATTACACTGTGTGTTTTGGAACTTGAGTTGCTAGGGGTGTCCATGGGCCGAGTCGGGCTAGGCCCGCAAAATTCTTTTTCGGNTCTTTGTTATTTGCAAGACTTCGAGCAAGCTGCAATTACACTGTGTGTTTTGGAACTCGAGTTGCTAGGGGTGTCCATGGGCCGAGCCGGGCTAGGCCCGCAAAGTTCTTTTTCGGGCCGGGCCTGGATAGTGTAAGCCCAAACCCTTACCCAAGTGAGTAATCGGGTGGGCCGAGCCAGGCTTCGGATAGGGATAGGCTACCCACAGCCCAACCCGTGAGCCTATTGGGCGGGCTTGCTAGGCGGGCCTACTTGCAGCTTTTTTATATACATATTTATTTAAAAATAATGAATATTTTTGTAACTTAACATTTGTGTAAATTATATTTTTGAATCAAAAGTAAAGTCAAAATGGATAAAAATAAAATAATGAACTACATCCAATAGAATAAATAAATCTCAACTAGGTTGACACTTACTAACTTATCAATTGTTTACATTACTCTATCATTTAAAACTTATAAGCTTAATATATGGGAAAAAAAATAATACATTATCTATAATATCTAAATTTTTAAAACTTCAAATTTCGATATTGGGAGACTTGTTTCAAAGTTTTAAATTTAATGGTCTAAAAATATAATTTTTTTCCAAATGAAGGGTGGCAGAGTGGGTGGGTTGGGCTTGAGGGCTGACTCTTGGGCCGGGCCGGACCAGGTAATGGATTTGAGGGTAAATTCAATCTCTCTTTTTAAGAATATTAGGCTCAGGCTCGGGCTCGGGCGGGGCCAACTATCAGGCTTCAGCCCTATTTTTTTTGAGTCGGATAACAGGACCCGTGGGTAATCCGGGGCCCATGGACACTCCTACGAGTTGCGATAGTCTGGAACTCAATCTATGATGCTACATTATATTACACTAACATCCATTCACATGATTTGAGAAAATCAAATAAAACTTCAGGCACTACCGATTTGACTTATAACTTGATGTCTTAATGAAAATTCATCTTCCCTATCTAATCTAAAAGAACAATTATGTAATGTACACTCAATATAAGAATTTTGAATTTTTACATATAATTTATAATTGTAATTTGAATTGTATAATATTGTTTATACTGTTTACTAGTTAATACTGTAATTTGAGTGGGAAAAAATCATAAAGATGGCAGAAGGTGATAGTTAACATTAAATTTGGAGATGAGTCGTAAATTCATATATTTTAAATTTAATTGTTTTTGTTAACTCCCAAGTTAATTGATACCTTTGATTAGTGAGTGAATGAAAATATAGCTAGTGATTGTTTATACCTTTGATCATTGATTAGTGAGTGAATGAAAATATTTCAAAGTACTTAACATGATTAAATGGAATGATGCATGTGATTGTTTTTAGGAAATCAATAATCAAATTACAATCATTTTTCAATTGTTTTCTTCGCAAATACTTTTCACTTAATCAATTTAACTTTATTTTTTTGCTTTAAACAGATGGATTCTTTCGAACACAATATTATAATTTCTTATGAAGAAGATCAAGTCGGGCATGTATCTAATGTAGTTGCAGCTCCAACAACACATACATCAACTAATACAACTACAGAAAAAGGTAAATCTAATAGTAAGCAAAAAAATACTTCAATAGTATGAAAATACTTTACAAAATTAAATGAAAAATATTCAAACGGCAAGAAGCGTGCTGCATGTAATATTTGTGGTATCAAATATATATGTGATTCTAGTCATGGAACTGGTAACATGCATACTCACATGAAAAAATGTGTGAAAAAAGACATCAGGGATATTGGACAATTACTTCTATGTCAAGGTCAAAGATCTATGCTAATGCGATCCACAAAATTTTATCTTGAAAAGTTTCATGAGTTAGCGGTTGAGGCAATACTTAAGCATGATTTACCATTTTGATTTGTCCAATATGAGAGTATTAGAGCAATGTCCAAGTATGCTTATGAGAATATCAAGATGTCTTCTCGAAATACTGCAAAGTCAGATGTGTTAAAAATGTATAAGAGAGAGAAGGATAAACTTAAAATTGTGTT